TTATTTTAAATTTTTCGAAATGCTATTTAATCGTAATGCATGCAGTACATTTTTTATAAGAATAACAATTTCATGGAAACCTATTAAGTATTAAAGTAGCCAAAACATCGTAAAAGAATCGCATTGTATCCATTAGAAATCACGAGTGATTTGAGCAAACGGATTTTTCGAATTGTGCATAGTCGTTGGCGCTTATGTCGTTAAACAAAAGGTATAACCTCAAAAGTTTTAAAATGTAATACGTGAATTTAAGAGTCCTTAAAGTTAAAAATCACTTACACTAATATCGGACAAAAAAAAAAAAAGAACACGACTGTTAAGCTCTAATTTTATATAAAATAATTCAACAGGAAAATCGATTTACTTTTTTGTAGATACCTAGGTAGTAAAAAATAATATTGAGTGATATAGGTATAAATACGAATTTAATAATAATATTTATATTATAGTTATATTTAATATTTATAAAATATTTCGGAAGAAAATTTGTTATTTCTTTTGTTGATATATTTAGAAATGTTAAAATACGGTATTTTATTAATTTTTTTATAATACCGTATTATACCAGCATTATACCAGTATTATTATATCGTATAGAACCTTGCAGTATCTTAAATTATAGGGAATTTAACAAAGGTTATCACCCCATTGTTAATTATGAAAAATAAATTATTTTAAAATTGAAAAATTGAAAAAATGACTTAAAAGTTAGAAAAAATTAAAAAAACATACAATACAAGAATTATTCATCAAATTAATATTTAGTCATGCTATGGAATCGCAATTATGATATAGGTAATATAGATATGTATGTTATACATAAAAATACCTATTTTTTAAATAGAAATAAAGAGAAAACTATACTTAATAGTTTTATAGTTATATACTATCTCATTGTGCCTATATATTTACAATATTTGAATATTATAATAGTAAAATAAATTTATTTTAGTTATTTTTAACACCTGAATTCTAAATTAACACGATTACAATAATATTGTATATTTTTAATTTTTATAATGAACTGTACTTTATTGGAGATCAATTCTATAAGTACAACTAAATAATTAATAGTTGAGTTACTAATAATAACTAAAAATAACGCTTTAATTTTTTTTTTTTTTTTATACCGTTTGTATAAAATAATTGTATACCATAGTGTATAATACCTTGTATAATACAGTTTTATAACACTGTATAATACAAACTCACATTACTAAATATACTTCATCAGGTCGAGTGAAATTAAAGAAGTTAAAATTGATTTACAGTCCAAACGAAAAGTAAAATTTGCCTAGTTTTGCACACCAATAAATAACTTCGTAATTTTGACTCTTTATTTTTACTTTTCAGGAATTGTATTTATTTTTATTAAGATTAATTACACATTATTGTCTTTGCACAGTTATGAAATATACTAAAAATGATAAGCTTTTTTCTGGTCCAGTTTCCAAATTAGGTAAGTGGAATCAAAATTAAAGTTCCACCTTCTTTAAAATATATGTTTTAGCTTATTAAATTATAATCTTTTAAACACTTGAATTAAATAAAAAGAATTTCACTGAATGGTTTATTTATTAAATATGAATGTAATATTATATGAGTTTTTATAAGAATTTTCTTTTGTGCGAACAGTTAATATTATATTTATTCATTGGACACAAGAGTCATCTAGATTTGTCGACTCTAATGTAATAAAATAATCTGCAGCCAATATAACTCTATTATTTGATATAACTATGATAATACATTGTTATAACTATACTAAACGATAGAATATGAAAAAATTTTGAGATTTTCAGAAGCAGAGGCGTTCATTGGACTTTTAATGGTTGAGAGGGATATGAAAATTTATTAAAAATTAAGCTTTGTGAGCTAACAACATAAAATTAATTATAAATTATTAATTATATGCATCGTGTAGAAAATTATAACGAGTCAAAAAAATATTTATTAACTATATTAATTTATTTGATTATAACCAGGGCTCTAAAAAAAAGTTTTTATAAACGCAATAACATGTTTTAACTTTAAACAACTCAACACGGTTAGGCGCTTTTCGGAATATTTTTTTTAACACTAAAAATAAGATTAATGACATTACGAAATTTCCCTTATTATCCCCTACTTATTCTGCTACTCGGTAAACTCCATGAGCCATACACGTAATATGAATAATTTTAAAATAAAATATTTACAAGGTATCAACAGCTTTTACTCTGTAGAAAACAGCGTTGAATGTGACTAATAAAATGTAGTCATGTTGAATACCAATAATTCCAATAGATTTATTGAATAGTTTCAACATAGTCGATTAATTAGTTTGTTTTAATTATTCAGAGTTTAGCAAATATTGCTCGCCAAGGTAGTACACCAATAATTACTTTAAAAAAAAATCTTTTCTAGATATTGGTAGTTTCATGATATTCAAGATGAGATAAAATTATTTGTGATAATGAAAAAAGTTCACGGTACACAAAAAATCAAAAATAGTACTTAAACTTCAAATATGCAAAAATATACAATATTAAATTTCATATATACTTTCTTAGTTTTTTTAAACGAATGTATAGCTCACGTAGGTATCTCTAGGACTCTAAATAAATATTAATTAATATAAAATTCATAAAATTATAAAAAAGTATACTTCGTTATATTATATAAAGAGTGCAAAATGTTATAGTTTTATAATGGTGACTTTATAAAAATACAAAAATAAATAAGTAAACTAAATAGTTAACTTATTTACTTATAACACTACAATGTTATATAAATCATATAAATAATACCTTAAAACATTTAATTTAATATTATTTTAATGATATACAAATAGTATAGTTGATTTTTTTATAATAGTTATTTTTTAATACACTATAAGTCACCAGTAATTAAAATTATTATTATTATTTATTATAATTTATTATAATTAATTACAATTATTGTGACAGTTTATTAATCTTTAAAAACTGGGACCCATCGATAAAATTTCAGACAGGGATTCAGAACATGTTTGTGGCCGATATTGAATCATGAAAATAAAATCCATTTAAAAAAAAGAAAAAGACAATAGTGTTGATTTTTCCCCATATTTTCCTCGTGAGAATACCCATGCCTGAAAGTTATATTTTAGACTCTAAGTAAAATAAGTCAAAGAGTTTAATGACTTTAATCTTCTTTCCGTCATAAAGTAAAGCTAGTGTCGGTCGTTAAAATATTGTCGTTACCGAACGTTTTCTTATTCGAAAACAATTTATACTTAAATTTTCAAGCAAAAATATTGTTTCCCGATTTGAAACTTTAAAACTTAAAAATTACTCGTTTCATAAAAAAAAAAAAATGTATGAACACAATCATATCATTAGACTCTTCCGAAAAAAATCTTCATTGATAAGCCGTTTATGGGTTGTCAGTTATTTCATATACTTTAATATTCTTTGACTTCAAGATACTTTGTGGTCGATTATTTCAGATTCAATGAGGGACAAATGCGTAATTATAGTTAATACAATAAGTTTCTCTAAATCGTAATCAAATATTATAATAATACAACATGTAATACCACATTATACTAATAATCATTTATGTATTTTGAAACATATTCAAATACTTTTACTGAATCACTTTATTGGAATCAAATTATTATAATATTTGTTATAAGAATACTAAATGTATGGAAAAAAACCATTATTAATTAAAAAACTAATTAATGTCAGCAAGCTGTAACATTTATCAAACTCAATCTAAATAAGGTAAGCTAATAAATATTGATTTTGTGTTGCACAATAACTTATGCTGTATTAATGGGAGCAATACTTTTTAACAAACTAATTTTTATTAATATTAAGTTTAATAATTTTTTTTTTTCGATTAACTAAGTAGAAAGTCAAAAGCATAATAATAATATTATATATACTAAGCAAAGCCAACATTTGACTATGTTCGATTATAAGATATTGAATCAAATTAAAATTTTTTCGTATCAGATATAAGAATATTTAAAAAAACGATTGAACACTAGAATTCGAATGACAACATCAACGTTCCGCTTTAAACGTTTATTATAATTAGCGAGATATTAAATTAATTATGCGATACATAAAAAAATATAATAGTCGGGGTTATAGTTCTTATACTTAATACATGGAATGTTGTGCGATTGATAATAACGTTATAGATTTCATATTGATTTTCGGCTATCGCTATGGGGTTACTTGTATTTTAAGTTGATAATATAGCTTACGATAAAATATAGTTTAATAGAGATTCAACGCATAAAATTATGATTGCGCATAATCAATTTTAACAATTTCCATAGTGAAGTGTATTGTGGTTAGTCTGGATGATAAATGATAATATCAACACCACTGTCGCCTGAGAGTGTAACACTTCCTATCTTCGGACATTTATTGAAGCATTTATCGAGCATTTATTGAAAATCGGATTAAATTCATTTGTTTTGAAACAGCATTAGTTTGGTACAACGATCGGACGTTAGTGGTGTATTTGATCGTTTTATTATGCACGTAATACCACGCGCCGATCTCGCGAAATTACCCGTGGACAGCGGTCATTAGAAAAATGTCAAAAACACTACGCAAAACAGGTGTAAACAATTCGACGAAAAAAAAATCGTTTCGTGTTCTGTCGAAATGTGATAATAATAACGATTCGTGTCCGTTTACACTCCTAGAAAACATGTCGTCGTCGTCGTTTTCAATTACCCTTTGGAAATCGACATCCGTCGTGGATAAAGACGCATGTAATACGGATGTGCATCCCAATTAAACGCGCACCCATTTCTTGGTTATTACCGTTATTAGTGTACTATTACCGCGGTCGTTTCCCGGTCAATAAGGTTGCGCGGCTACCACCGCCTCCGACACGCCTCGCCGAGTCTCGCGGCCGTGAAACACGGGTGGGCACGATAACCGGGAAAAGTGCGTGTAAAAAGATAATCGTAATTCGTACGACTGGCACACACCCGCGCACATACGTACACACACGCGCATACGTAAATACGAGTATATAAATACACGTGAAATCGAGTCGCTGCCGATTAGTGCTGAATTCCGTTCCGACATGAGCAGTGCCGCGATCACCGGTTTAGGAGTTACGCAAAAACCATCCGTCGTGTCCGCGGACAAGATGATGAGCTACGGCACGTACAACAGAAGATCCGCGGCCACCAACCGTCATCGCGGCGCCGACGACGACAACGACAATGACGACGACGACCGCTCGTCCGAGCTGTCCGACTCCGGGCACTTCCTGGCCAAGGGCGCATTCCTGATCACGCCCAGCAACGAGCTGAACCTGGAGAAAGCGACGGCCATCTGCGAGAAGATGAACTACAAGGGACCGTACTCGGTGACGAAGACTGCGACCGGGATACTGTTCAAGTTCGCCGAGCAGGACGACTATCACGTGACGTTCCGCAAAGGATTCCATAAGGTGACCAATTCGAGGTTCTACAAGAAGGTTAGTTATTATTAGTTATAATTTAAATTGTTATTAGTATTTTTATCATGCTCAGCACTATCCGAAAAATTATGATAAATAATCTATAAATTGTAACATCATCTGTACGAGAAATGATAACATGATTGTATACTATAATATTACGATTTGTTGCTGTGTGACATTTATTATTGTAGCATGAATTATCGTCAACCATCGATTTCCATACCACATCCAATAGGTATCTATGTTCTCCAAATAAACCAAATCTTAATACTGTATTTGACGAATTTCAACTGCTGTAACCGCACCTTTTCGTCTCATGAATTATATTATCTAGCGAGTAGTACTGATCAAATGAATCAAAGTTAACTGATGGACGACGCGCTACATAAAATCACGTAAAACTGTTTTATCTAATGACGTGGAAATCGAGATGAGCCTTAGTGAATAATTTAGGAAAATGATGTAGAGTTATCATCAATAATTCATCAGTGTGCTATTGTGTAGTATTATTTTAGAGGATAGACTGTCCATTGAAGATGTATTTTTGGGCTCTTTTAGATTTATTTTGCACAACGTGAGCCTTTTTGAGTGACAGACACTATAATATGGACTCATTTTATCCGAAATCCCAGAAAAAACGAGGTCCCGCAAAATATCGATCTTGAAATTATATATGTGTGCCAAAATATTATAAGAATCTTTTGAGAAAAAATGCTTACAATGTTACAAAATTCCATTGTTAAGATTTAATAACAACTACATTTTGCTGCCTTCTTCTCCAATAATTTGAGATCACACGCGTACACGGAAGTGTTCAAAACAGAGATCTTTAATTATCTATTTAAAAAAACTCATGATTCGCCTGCGGTTAAATTTTACCATTTAAGTATACTTTTACACGCAATATTAATATATATAAATATATATAAATAACGTGAAATCAAAAATATTTATCTTACGACGCTTATAAATATTTACATGTGGCATAATGTTGTTATATAAAATAAACTCGCATTAAAGGCTTTTTGTAATTTTTTATTACGATAAAATTGTTACTCTTACAATAAATCAATATTTTGACGATCATGCTCATATTTACCCCTGATATACTAGAGTGGATTATTTCTCTTCCAGACCACCCTTTTATACGGTATTTGCTGTAATTATCACTTTTGTGGTTTTGTATTTTATGCGATATTCAACGGATTATTCTACCATTAGTATATAGTACTTATTATATTGAAAATATGTTCAAATTTATAAATAGTGTTTAATACAAAAAACCAGACTCGCGATTTAAATTAAAAAATAAATAAAATTACAGAGATATTCTATTATAATGATATTTTATTTTTATCGAAAAGTAGAATTTCCTTTAGATTTTTCTATTTTCTTACAATGGCAGCAACAATTAATAGAATATTTTCATATTTATCTGATCATTTCCGCAGTATACGCGAATAACACTGCACCGCATGACATCATACAGTGTTCTCGTCTCAATGTACAATCGTTAGCAAAATATAATACCATAGCGTTACGGCAGATTACCCGTTTCCGCTAAAACAAAATCGGTTCCACTTTCATATTCCCTAAAAAATATTTTAGTAACCCCAAAGATATTAGTTTATTCCTGTATAGATACTGGCTTGATATTTTCCGTCGCTTGTTGACGCTTTAATTCTAAAAGTCCAATCGCATTTCGCATGAACAATTTAAACTGAATACATTCTATACACCGACAGACATAACATTGAACGAACTATTTAATAGTTGCATCAATGTTAAGTACTCAAAATATCAAAAATTGATCGAAGTGTAAATCACAAAGGAATAAATAATTAAGTTTTAAGGGAATCAATATGCATTTTGTTTTTTTTGTGTCCTTTTTAAAGTGTCCTTTATTTGAGTGGATATTTTAACAGTAATAATTTATTACATTCCAAATGATAGATCATATTAATAAATTACAATGCACTTGAATAAGTAATTAGTTAATTTATTGATTTTAATAAAATTTAAATAATATACGATGTACTATGGTAGATTCAACACCATTGAATTTACGAGTTTGTCATGATATAAATTATTTTATAAGATTTTTGAAAAAACATTTTATTCTTTTTAACGAGGAAAATGTTTTCTAAGCAAGTTATGTCTAAACGACAGTTGCATTTTTCATAATTCTTTCATATTACCTTTGAGATAACACATACAACAAAAATGAAACGAAAAACTAAACCCAATCACACCATTCGGTTTTCAATTATATTATCTTAGACAACCAGTACTCGAGAAATTCTCTTTAGTCTTCTAATAAGGTAAACTTATTTATACGCAATAAGATATAAAACAGGTAATGGGGAGGACTTAAAAACATACTGAATCTTTCCTTTATCACGTCCTTTATCTAAGCTACGATCGGAGTAATATTTTAATTTATTTAAAATTATGAAGTTAATTCAATTTAAATAGCTTCGTATTTACTGTGTATTCAACTATCGTAAACAGTGGAATTTACTTCCAAATATGATGATAAATCATACATTTAATTAACATTTTTTATCGCATTTCCTTTTAATTTTTTTGGTTCTTTTAATTTGTCATTTATAGACAATAGCAGTTCTAATAAAGTTCACGTATTCGATATTTGATAAAAAAATGTATACATAACTGTACCATCGTCTCTATCCAAAAAAATAATGAACACACCTGAATAATTAAATTGAAGAACACTGTAAAATATCAACTCGGACTGATAGTGGCATTTCATTGTGGTTGGTTATTTTTAATTTTAAATATAAATAAACAAAATAGTCAACAGTGTTTATGAGAAGTTAAAAACAATAAATTATGAGAAATGTAATATGAATATGTGAAATTATTAATGAAAAACATAAATTGAATAGAAATATGTAGAAATTATCATATTTAATGGTTTGAAAATAGTGTTCGATTTATTTGTTAGATATTATTTTTATTATAAATAAAAAAATAAAATAGAAATAGCAAACATGATTAAATATTTTTAGATATGAATACGATTACACATTTGAGTAGATTAAACCCTTTTTGTATTTAAAATACTAGTGTATTCTATTATGTATGTCAAATAAAATTATATTCATCGAGAAGTATATATTGCACTTTCAGTCGTTGCGAAAGTTTTAATTGTGGACTACAAAACATGAATCAAACCAAAACGATTTTAGTATTTTTTGAATTCTAAAATGTTAATCGTAATAATAATTAAACATGATTAATTTAACGAAATCCATACTGATTACAGGCATCTAAAATATTCGATTAAAAGTTAATCCTATCTTATAGGAATTTTCAATCTCTATGTATCAACTACTTTTAGAAATATTATCTAATCCATCAAACCTTTTTCACTCAGAATCGTTTTTTCTTCCTTTTCACGATTGCCTTTATCATCTTAATCCTAATTATTATAGTTGTGTGGCAGTCATCACAATGAGAACATGTTAGTGAATCAAACCTCATTATATATCGATATCATTGTCGATCAATAAACCATATAGATAAGTGATGGTATTATATATAAATTTAATTTAAAAAACAAACGTCTACTATATTATATCGGTAGAGAGGATAGATAATTGCGTTAATAATATCTTAAAATTGCATTAAAAGATGTCAAAATTGTAATGATAATTTATCAATATTTCAGTATAAATATGTTAAAATTGCAATGAATAATACATTAAAATTACATAGTAAAATCGTAATATATAATCGAATAGATAATCATTAATTACTTACCTAAATAATATTATGGACAATATTATTATTAGTATTTACAAAAAAAAATAATTTTTCTGAATTAAAATTTGTAATTACATGTATATATCTAAATTGTGTTCATGAAAATTGTATTGTCAATTACTTAAAACAGTTTATAGAATGAAAAAGTACGTTCAAGGTCTACACTTTTTATCGGTGCATATTTAAAATAATTAAAACAATTTAGTGTTATATCTAACATTTTGATTTTCTGCCATAATCTCAGAGTAAGTATTAATAATTTTTTGTCCTCAATCTTTTTCTAAGACTCATTTTAATTTATTTTTTAGTATTTTCCTGTTGGGACCTAGGAATATTTGTCAAAATATTTTCATTTTCACTAAATATGTTTAAACTATTAAGTAATTGGCTATTTGATTCTTGTGGATAATTCAAATAAATATAATTTTAAAAATGCTAAACTACATTTAATCACATGTAAAAATTTACATCATAGTTATATTTTTATTTAAAAATTACTTTAAAAGTAATAATGTGTATATTTTATTACATGAAGTGTACAAAAATTTATATAATTACAAAAAATGCAAAATTGTTGAAAATTGCAAAAAATCGCATTATTAAATTAAATAGGAGGACTGTAATTAATTCGATTCGTATACATATTTGATCAGATTTGATTTACCTGGTATCAATAAAATGCTGCAATATCTATTTCATCCGGTTCTTAATTCATTTAAATGGGTTCAAGTATCAGTATAAAACGCTGCATTGGTCACTGTACCATAATTATAGCATATGGCACATACGAGGTCTATGAAACATTGTAAATTATGCCCTTATGTTTATGGTTAGCAAACGAAAGACGTTCGTGAAAGTCTGCAGCAGCATTGGCGCACAGTTATCAGAAAATACATTTTAGCTTGTCAAAATTTAAATGATTTAATTATTATATTTTTTATATTATATAATTATATTTGTAATTCTTCTTTATATTAGAAATAATCTATATAAAATGATAAGTAAACTACTTGTAAATAAAAATCACTATAAGCATAATTAACGTTTAACTATCGATAAAAATTTGATCAAATATTATCTGAAATTAATCACTACCCAGTGTGCACTGGATGTTTCAACACATCCCAGAAACAAACATATTACGTAGTACAATCAACGTAACTTTTTAATATGTATACAATGTATCTATTCTGTCTAAATAAAACAAACATTTAACACTCATCCCG